CCTCCTTGTTCCTTATCCTGTCTGCACTAGAGACTTTTTAAACGAGGTGGCACAAACACTAGGGAACAAGCCTGCATTGGAAGGAACTGGAATGGTTGACCTTGCAAGGCCTTCTCCACTTCAAAGACCAGGCTGCTGCCTAGTTACTCTATGAATTTAGAGTTTGAACCAATGTGCTAGAGCAAAACTGCCTTAATTCCCCTCAGAATAAGAATCTGATCTTTATTATGAGAAACAGGTAGGTAGGAGGATTTGAATTCTACAGCGAATCCTTCACTAATGAGCATCTCTAAGAGGAAAACTCCTGGCTTAAACAACTGCTTTTAAAGTAATCACATGTGGCTTTCTGCACAATTTTCATTCCATGTTTTGTCAAATACTTGACGCAATGTGGTATTTGCTGGTGGCCCCGTAAAACAGATCCATAAGCCTCCTTCCTCTCTTCAAGGTAGGATGGATAATTTTGTACTTAAGACACTAGACTGGGACTCAGGACCCAGTGGCTTCAGTTCCTGGCCCTGACACTGAGTCCCTGTCACTTAACCTTAACCTGTAATCTGGGGATAATAATTCTTCCCTGGCTCACAAGGGAGGGTTGTGAGGATACTTGTGAGGCACTCAGACACTCTCGTGATGGGGGCTAATGTGAGAATGCAGACAGGCTTCATTGTGTTAACAATAGAGGTAACCATCACTGGAATTACTCAGTAAAATTCAAAACTGAACGATTCAATAGAATGGTCATGAATTCCTGGATTTATTAAAATTAAAATAGAGATCTCTCCATTATCTCCCTGTGTTCCAAACCCCTCTCATTTCCGATCACATCCACCATGCTATCAGAAATCCAGCTGACACCCCCCAAAATAAAGATCTTTGAGACCCAGGGTGGAGTGTATAGAGCCGGGCCCAGGGTTTAGGGATAACTTGGATCTTTGGGTGCTTTTGGGGAAAGAAGAGCACTTTTTACATTTATCGATACCCTTTTTATGTAAGGTTTGAATGGATGGAAAGTTGTAGCCTCCCCGTTTTACTGCGTGTGGTGATGTTTAGCTCAACTGCTCTCAAACTGACGGCTAGGAGTGTATTGACACATCTATAATTCTAGCCGAGAATTATTGGGGAAATGTGAGTGTTGGCTCGATTTCTTAGGCTTCCTTGTGAAATTGGGTCTGGGCTACAAAGAGCTAAGTAGGAGGCCAGGCTACTGCAGAGGGTTTGGAGGTTGCTCTATCATCGCCATCCTCTTGCTGATAACTGTGAGTCTTACTGCAACTGAAGATGAGCCAAAGTGGTGGTTCAGATCCAGTTTAAATTCAGATTTTAGGGTTCAGACTGGCTGCTGAATCTGAACTCAGAATCCGGTTCCAATTCGACAGCACAGAACTGTTCTTGCCAAATTTTAGTCTAAAATAGTGGTAATCAGAAGAGAGCATGAGAATTACCACTGTTTGGGACTGAAATCTCCCAAAAGCGTTTTCTTATGAGATTTCTACCACATCCAAGCACCAAAAGGAAACCAGACCCCCCTTTGGGATGTGGAGGCAATCTGGAACAAAAACTGGAAGGAAGGGCTTTGGTTTGGGACTCAAATCCAAGTTCTGTCTTCCTGTGTCTCGCATTGGAGGAGTTCAGATTTGAGTCTCTGGTTTTATCCATCTCTTAGTAGGAGAGCTGCTATATAGACTGAAGACCAAGAGCAATGAGGGTCCATCATGACCCTTCATATACCCCATTGCCCTAAGTTCTATTCCACTCTTTCTTTCCCGCTCCAGCTGCCACAAAATGGAATGGAGGTGACGCAATGGATACTGTATCAGGATAGACTCTATCAAGAGTAGAACTGCAGTAGCAATATGAAATTTGTACATATTGACCGGTTCATATTTGTATTCAATAGCACTTCACAGTTTAATCCAAGCCCCTTTCAACAGTGATCCTAATGGGATTATTTTGGATTTACACCATTGGGGCAGAGAGTAGAATTTGGCCAACTAATCCTCACAACATCCATGTGACTAATGTTAATCGTACTGAGGGCCTGTCTGAAATATTTATGAAGAACTGTGCAAAAACTTCACTTTAGGGGTTTCATATTTTCCTTGTGAAATCAGGAACTGCACAAGTGAAGGGGCCAGATCCTCGATTGGTGTAAATTGGCATCGCTCCAGTTGAGGATCTGGCCTAAGACCTCCAAAATGACCTTAGCTGGCCTATGTTACCCATGGAAGTGCCTGGCTCAGGTCAGGAGTCTCATGTTCACAATCCGTTTTCCCCCCTCCTCCACCCCCACTATTCCTCTCAACAGGAGCGTTTGCACCAGAAACCTGATTCAGTAAGTTGCATTAAAGTCACATGAACAATAGTGACCTATACGTCCAATGACCACTGATAACCACAGTTAAAATTGTAGTGATTAAATACTCTCAACAAACCACCCATGAACATTCTACATGTGAAAAATACATTCAAGATGGCTGCTCACGGACACTTCATGAGCTGAAAGAGAGGCTTGCTTTGTCTGCTTAGTTTGCTGTGAATTGCTTACTCAGCCCTTAATAGTAGGCTCCATTTTGCCCTCAAAGATTTAAACGTGGCTCCCACCAACTTCCAAGGGAGTTGCATGATGCATCAAGGGACAGCATTGACCTGTCTGTGCATCACTGGGAGACTTACAGTTGCTGGGCATGATTCTCACTAATGAAGGGAATAGGAGCCAGGCTGCTATGAAAAATTTGGAACAGAGTCTCCTTTGTTAAGCCAGTGCATTCTGGTTGATGCACTGCTGTAATTTAGGTGAAAGTTTGGATGGGAGGTTTAAAACTAATGCATCAAAATCAATGGGAAATTCAAGAATTTACTAGCCACACCCCTCCTAGAACGATTGGGCTGTAGAGGCAAGATTGCTTTGCAGACACAGTGGTTCTTGTGTGTCCTGGGTGGGCTTTCTGAATTGGTGATAACCCCGACCAGAAATGACTTGTCTTTATGGCTGGAGCACTGTCATACTGAACACAGGTACTGACCTCAGCAGATATATTTTCATTTTATAGTGTGAAATACCAACAATGATATCTACCTTATGGCTCCCAGATTATAATATCCGCTCCTTACCAGTGCCGGTACAAGCCTTCTATTTAGGCTCACAATAAATACAAACACAGTTGCAGTCATATTTCATTTTTTGATGGCATAGCGGTGGTTTTTGATTATATAAATCAGGCTTTAGAAAAGGAATACAGCATTGTGACTGACTGACTAAATAAAGAAATGCAAATGTAAAAGTCCTTACAAATAATAATAATAATAATAATAAAGCTGCTTTCGAATGGACATTCAGGATCAACTGGAAAACACTGCACTCTTGGTGTGAATAGGAGAAATCAGTTGGGCGCAGCATGCAGGCGGGTTCCTGATAAACTAATGCTCCTTCACACAATTTACAATCCAACTGAATTCATTTGCATGACAAAATTGGCTCGGGTATTCATGTGTTGCAGCAAGACAAGTGTAACATTACAAAGAACAAGTAACCATGGGGAAGGTTAATGCAGACAATAAGGAAATACAATGACATGAATTGGGTTCGTCTTTTGCCAACCTCTTATCTGAAAGAGAAAAATAACAGCCCCCTTCCTCCTTGTTCGTGAATAAAAGAGTTGTTTCATGGAGAGGAAAGTGAGGGAAGGGGAGAAATGTGCGAAGTTGACAAATAAAGATCTATAATTCCATCATTTTACAGCAGGTGGTGGTTGAAGGGAGAGGTTTAATTATGAAGGAAGAACATGGGTTGGTGATGTGAAGCGTGTTTAACTAATCCAGCCCTGAAGACATGTGGTTGGTAACTGAACCATCAGTTAAGTGTTTTGAGTAGCCAACGCCATTGCGTCAAATTCTGCTCTGTTACACTGGCAGAAGTCCATGGGGGAGGTTTGCAGAAACCACATGGGCTGCACCAGCGTAGCTGGGAGAAGAATTTGGCCCATCATGGGCCAGGGTTTCAGAAGACCTCAGCCCTCACAGTCAGAGGCAGATTTTCAGAAGATCACAGCAGCACATCGGATGCTGGCTTCTTTGGGAAATCTGGTCACAAAAGTTGCTCCTGGGCGCTGAGCACTTTTGAAAACCTGGCTGGCATTTAGGTGCCAGAGTGTTAGCTGAGCTCTTCTGAAAATCTAGGCCTGATTTTGGGTGCTGAATATTTCACAAACTGGATTACTATGCAGCTTTCAGGAAGGGTTGGTTTTTTAGCCTCACACATAGATTTGTGTTGGCAGATGGACCGAAGAAGCCTGGCTAAATCTCACTGTTGATAGGGTTAGGAGAGGTCTCACTTTTTATTTATTTATTTTTATTTTGGGGGGCTGTGAGCCCTTGTTCTGGATAGAAATCGATATGCAGTAATAAAAACAGTGCAGTTCAGTTTCCTGTGTGACTGGAAAATCATGCAAAGGGAAATGCAAAAGTCATTGCCAGAACTTGAACTCAGAGCACCACAAGATTTGAGACCAAGGATGCTTGTCACTGAACAGAACGTTATAGCAGGGAACGGGACTAATACCATGCTGAGGCAAAGGTGTTAAGAGAAATCAAGCCTACAGGGGAATGTGATCTCTTCCTCTGAGATCACATTGAACTGCAGGACAGGAGAACAAGAGTTTTTGAGCCACTTTCTCCCAGCGCCACACCCTCCCCCAATGCACACTCATTTGGTTGGGCTTTTGGCTTTGCTTGGCTTTTGGAGTCCTCCTCTAGCCATTAAAGACTCTCCCGGACTGGAATGGGCTTCCAGCTCTTTCCTGCTCTCAGGAACCGCTTGGCTAGTGGAGCCTTTGAACACGGTGAGCTGAGGAACATGACATTTGCCATCACAGATGTTGCTCCTCGTGAAACTTGAGCAAAGCATCAGGATATTTTGTGGCATGCGGGTGCTGCTTTTCTTGATGGGAGCCAGAGGTCCATAGGGTGTCAAAGTAGCTCATTTATGCTTCATTTTAAAGGGGTCCTGGCTTCCATGCTCCAGCGCTTTGGCGTATCACTTCTGAGGACCTAGAGAAAGGATTCAAGCAAGGTCCCATTCTGCCTCTCCCCTGTGTCCGTGGCATGCAGCTAGCGCATGGTTTGGTCCAGTCACGCGTGTCTGCTCGAGGTAAGGCCAACTTTGCAGGGGGGTGATGTTCATCAGGGTTGAGGTGTGCGGGAGGAGCTGTGCGTGTGTGTGGGTCTGACGTTTACACCTTCCTACAATATCACTGGAATCTGTGCTTTGCTTGCTCACTTTCAGGAGCATTAAAACACTCAACCACCTATTAAGTTTTAAGTAGAAATCGTGTGTATGCGCATGACAATTTGTAAGTCAGCAGATGACTGAGCTGCTGCTGTCGTGTAAGGATAGAGTTATACCTGTATTTTCATAGATTTCCTGTGTGACTTTCGAAAGCCACTTTGCTTCTATGTGCCTCAGTTTCCTCCTCTACAAAATTGGGATAATGTTACCTTCCTGTCCTCTACAAGCATGTGGAGACAAAACTAACGGATGTTAGCAAAATGTGCCGAGTTGCTTCAATGGGAGAAGCTATATAAGTGCAAATTATTATTATTACGGTATAGAATTATTTGAAGAGGAGGGGTAGGCTGGCTAATTGACTAAATGCTTATTACATGGAGGAAAGCTTTCTGGGCCGGAGGAACACGTCACTTCTAACAAGCAGACTGCATCGTTAGCAGGCCTCTTTATTCATTGTTGTTCTCAAATTGGAGCACTCGTCTCCATTTCCAGCCTGGATTAGATGCTCTGACAACGGGTACTTGATAAGTACAAGGGCCCCTCTTTAGATCAGCTCTGCTCAGCGACTCAGCAGGTTAGCCCCTCAATTGCCATCTGCAACAAATCTGTAACAAGTTGACAAACGGCTAATTTTAATTTAATCTTTCGGTTTCCAACCTAATGGAAAGAGAAGAAGGGAAAAAAAAACAGGAGAAGGAAGTGCTCACCCGCATCCGTGATTCACACCACTCACTCGATGGGGAGTTTCTGTGCAAAAACTGGTTAGGAGCACAATAAGTGCCTTACATTTTTGAATTAAATTTAACCCCAGGGTGCCACTGCTTCAGAGCCATTGGAGGCAGAGTTGTAAATCATGGTAGCAGATTCCGTTTCTGATGAGCACTTCCCATCACGATGACATTTAAACTATTAATTAATTAGGAGAGAGCAAGATGAGAAGATTTGGAACTCTCCCCTTTGGATAATTACTGTAGAACACATTTGTTACTGTAATGAACGTACAGGATATGACTTCAGTGAGTGCATGTTCTGTGTGTGTGTGTGTGTGTGTGTGTGTGTGTGTGTACAGATTTTTCAGCAAGCACTAGAGACTTGACAAGGGGTGGGGAAGAATTTTGTAATACAGGGGTCGGCAACCTTTCGGAAGTGGTGTGCCGAGTCTTCATTTATTCACTCTCATTTAAGGTTTCGTGTGCCAGTAATACATTTTAATGTTTTTAGAAGGTCTCTTTCTATAAGTCTATAATATATAACTAAACTACTGTTGTATGTAAAGTAAATAAGGTTTTTAAAATGTTGAA